GAAAGAGATTAAGTAGTCCTAATAAGCCTTTTTTTACCGATTTTTTTATTTTCTATAAAACGGCCCCCCCAGTGGCACAGCGGTATGCCTGCGGACTTACAACGCTAGAATCCGGGTTTCGATACCCGTGGTGGGCAGAGCACAGATAGCCCATTGTGTAGTTTTGTGCTTAATTATAAACATACAAACAAATCTATAAAACGACAATGTCGCTCTTACCACTTTAGACTTGGTTTACTTACCACTCCTCCGAGACCGCCAGCTTCTTGATAACATCCAATGATCACCAAGCTCATGATGAACAATCCTAGAGAGACGACACAAACGCATAAATTATTAGTAACTTAGGAGGACATCAAGAAATAAAATAAATTAGCAGAATGGAAACCTTCCAGTATTTCAGCTGTTTCCTTATCAACTACAAGATATCTATGGGGTATAGGTTGTGTAATGGAGTCGAGGACAGGCTATTTAAGTCATGACAATTTCTAAGTCAGCAGAAATTACATTAAAAGACATTCATGACTATGAATCTATACGTCAGCTTCAAAAGTATCCTTTTACACTTTTTCAGACGTACTTATTAAGAACAACTGTAGATATTCTAGAAGGATGACGTCAAAAAAATGCTTGCAGCTTAATAATGAAGGAGGAATACAACATTTGTGTTAAATGTTATCTTTAGGAAGAGAGAAAGAAATACTTCAATACTTCAGACCTTCAATAAAGTTTAATTTCAATCAAATAACCAGAACCAAAACCAATTAGTTTTCAACTTTTAAGACAGAAAAATAAATATGGAGAACAAGCTAAATGCAGAAAAATGAAATATATCTTATTGGGACATGTATGTTGTGAATACAACATAAACAGCGACGTGAGTGACGGTGGATCAAAATTAACCACTAGTAAAATACAGCGTGTCTCAAAGGTTCGCACTCATAAGCAGAATTCACATTTAACCTTTATTTTACCAAAATTGTTCATGTTACATGCCATCAACTTGCTTACAGATGTCATACACAATAAATAAACAAATATCTATTATAACCAATAGAATGGCTATAAGTACAGACTTTTTCAACCTCTTGTACATATTTTAATTTATCTATAAAATAAATAAACAAATATCAATTACAACCAATAGAATGACTATAAGTACAGACTTTTTCAACCTCTTGTACATATTTTAATTTATCTATAAAATAAATAAACAAATATCAATTACAACCAATAGAATGGCTATGAATACAGACTTTTGAGACACCCCAAACATTACTTTTTTCACTCTATAGTTTACTCCCTTTATAGTAATTATTTAAACATTTTGCTCTATATACACTGCAAACTTACATATCAATCCTGGAGCCGTCTGCAAAATATTTTGAAAGAGATAGATATTAAGAGCTCAAGATAATCTCCTCCAACGCTTTCATACACATCTCAATGAATATGATTTCTAAAATAACAGTCATACTGAAAGTTATTGTTCTATAATATTATATGATCTATACTTCTTGAAATTGTGTGTTTATTATTAAAAAATAGCTACGTCTCTAAGTCCTCAGTATATAAAACAGATGTTGCAAGATGTACATAAAGTTGTTGAAACACTATGGAAGAAGGCTTTCAAGAACTGAAATTGCAGCCTCAAATAAGCACAGAAAGGCATACACTACATCTAATCTTAGTTATATGGCTCGAGCTGTAAGGTTTGTATGTGCTCTATTAACAGTCTGGTAACACGCACGTTTTCGTACTCAAAATAGAAGTGCTTGAGTTAAGAAAAGGAATTCATTTCTACAAGGCATTAATTAGTGTATTTTTCCCAATATTGTAATTAAAAAATAAACTCCATTGTGTTATTCACTGTAGAAAAACAAATTGTTACATTCTGTAAACAATTTAATATAAGAAAAGAAATATAATAATTGTGCGTGTGAAAATTTATTTACTCACACAACAACAAAAAACTGTGAAAAACTGAAATCTATTAACTTTATAATCATAAGTTTTTATGCTATGGCTGGCGAATTGTTTTCATGTTGTTCTACTTCGTGACCTATCAGTGTAAAACGTAGAAATGTTAGCAAAACAAATAATGAAGAAGCGCAGAAACCGTGAAGAAACCGAAATCAAATTCACTATAATTCTAGAAGTTCCTAACTCAGTTTCGTCGTCAAGCACGTGTGTGTGACTATATCAAAAGAGACGGACTAATGACATCGGTAATTAATTATAACAAGTTAGTCCTCGTTCAGATGTTGTTAAATTCTTGTCTCGGGCTCTTATAAAAGCGAAACCGTTTTTTAAGACCGCAGTGTAGTCACACTTTAACTATTTCCATATGAAATAGTCTTTTTTTCTCAAATCTTGAGGTTGAATTTGAGTATTTGAACGTGTCTTATGAAATATATAACCATAAAAAGCAAGTTTAATTTCAGTGCCCCAACTCCAAACCATATATCTAAATCATTCCATCTGCAAGAAATTATTGAGTTCATTGTTGAAAAACATAACATTTACTGTTTTTTGTTGTTAAGTACGACGCTACGCAATGACTTATCTGTACTCTGTCCACCACGGGTATTGAAATCTGCTTTTCAGCATCATAAGCCCTAAGTCTTACCGATGGGCCACTGGGGTGTGTGTGTGGTGGGGTACTACTGTTTGTACGTTTTTATGCTTTACTGATTAAATAATGTATATGCACAGTGTCGAAAAAGGTTGGTCTTTACGACACTTAGATCAACTGCATACGAAACCTAATCACTGTCGGTAGAAACTCGTTATAGATTAGATAAAACCCATAAATAATCTTCGTATTTTTAAACAATTAGAATAGTACCTGAGTTTGATATTGGATAATATTGGCGATAAGAAACGTCTCTGACAAAAGAAAGACCTTTTAGCTTCATACATTTAAATCAAAATGAGAAATACTTGAGTTTTACACGTGTCGGTGCATTTTAACTTGTTTCCATAGTAACATATCAGAACTTTAATAAGGTAGTAGTTACTTACTTTAGGCGTATGATGTCTTCTGAAGTGTTTAGTGGCAGGAGCCATTTGAGATTAAGCTTTGTCTTGAGAGTTAAGAGCACTATTGAAGGTAACGATCTGTTTGGTTGTATGCAAGGCACGGCCGAAGAGGGGTAGGCTGTAAAGTTTCCTGGTGGAAACGATGTTACCACTAACGGTAGTTCAGCATTCTCCGATGACGTCAGTTGGACTGTTAAAAGAACGCAAACGAGTAAGATTATATTATAGTTGGCGAAAAAAATTACTGAAAATATCTGTAACTTTTTCATTAAGTAATACACTAAATAATTCCATTTTTCTTGCGGTTTTTTGTCAGTATATAAGTGGCAGGTTCACTACTAGCGGATATTAGTCAATAATGTATAAAAGCAAATCAATCTAACTTAAAACATTGCAACAAGTGTACAGTTTGCCGAATTCTGTTGGTTTAAAATCAGCTTTACTTTAGTAGTCACCAGACTCTCAGCTACTCTAAACAAGTGTACAGTTTGCCGAATCCTGTTGGTTTAAAATCAGCTTCAGTTTAGCAGTCACCAGACTCTCTGGAAACCTGACATTTTGGCAAATCATGCTGTACAATATTTAAAGCGCTTTTAGGTTTTGGAAGACTGGGTTCTTTTATACCAGTGGGCAAACTTTTTATAACAAACATTCACACGTTTTCTAGTCACAAAACCATGCTGATGAATTTATGCAGCACTTAAAGAGTAAATTCCTAAATATGAAATTCACAACTGAGCATCAACATGAATCTTGTTTATATTTCTTGGACACTTCAGTACATAACCAGCGATGTAGTTTTTTTAATTTGTGCATATCATAAATCAAATTTCTTCAAAGCTCATTCTGATAGATTTATCATTACACCTTTTAAAGTTAATTTAGTGAAAACGTTAGTAGAACATGCTTACAGAATTGTAAGCAGTTCGACCGATGCAAAAATAAATTATTGTATCAATAAACTTTCGAAACAGTGTGCTTTTAACAGCTTTTATATTAATAGTAATATCAGTGATATACTTATGAAAGTGACTACTTCCAAAGTCTTAAATTAAGATGTGCCTAATTCTAGTAATTATAGATATATATACAGGATTACACTTTGGAACATGTTAGCAAGAAGTCTGTTCCCATCCCAGCCAGCGTTTATCCAAATGAAATTCCTACTTAAAGCGGTTTTGAGTATGAGCAGTTTATTTCATTTTAAGGATGTTATTCCTCAAAGTGAGAGGTTGTTTGTGATCTAGAAATTCAAGTGTCATTGCTACACAAAGGAATATGTGGGACTTGCCACTATGTGATTGTCTAGTCGTAAAGAAAACAAACTTGAAACCTCATCGGTATGTACAATCTCATCATCACACCTAACAACCTTGTGGTATTTAGTAGAGTTGAAAATGAGGGGTAACTGAGAATTCGAGAAAGTTGGGTGATTGCTTAACTGAAGTCGGTCTTAAACCAAGATAATATGGCGCTTATTCTTCTCCATTTTTAAGCTTTTATATTTTGTAAAATAATAATGGATATTCTTTAAGTGAACACACACAACAGTTGGATTCTGTATCAGATGATACAAAGCAAAATAGCATGCACAGTAAGTATTATAAAATAATGGACACAACAGCAAAACATTACTAACAGTTACAATTGGATATAAAATCAAGTCACTGAAATGTTTGATTTTTACATGAAAATAAGATTTTTCTGTGTTATTTACACATATGGTTGTTAAGCCATAATGCACTATACGAATATAATAACAATTTAATATTCTGACAAGTTTTATGTCTAGAGAATATCGTGTACACAGTATTTAAACTAGCAAGGTTTCAAAGAACCTGAAGAAGTTCAACGTGACTTTCTCGAAATGTTATTCAATGATTAAACCTTAGTCCCTAAAGTAACCATACTATCTGAATCTACTCTCGCTGTTTGGAACCTGAAACTACATTGTAATATACTTGATTGAAACTGATTGGATTTACAAAAGTTTGGTCCTGAAGGTAACTGATCTTTCTAGGTCTGGACCTGTAATACTGGGCTCGCGTGGATTGTCAATTACCCAGACTAAGGCTTTATCAAGCAGTACACAGCACGAGCAGCTCTAAGGTTGGAGGTCATTAATCAGGAAGCTCTTGCTAGTTCATTTGTTTTCTAATTGGTTCTGAAGATCACCAAGAAAATTAGCTACATTCGAATAGTCGTGGACGTAACCAAACTCTCTTTTGTGTGTTGTGTAAGCTAGGACTTTCACGTCACCTTTCATTTTCGTTTTTACACTATGATAATGGACTACAAGCACAACTGTTTACATGTTTCTCATATCACGATTGCAAATTCTTTGACTGGCCATAAATTAACTTGAATCGAATCCATTACACCTTTAATGGAATGTTCCAATAATAGATTTTGTTCTCCATCTTTCTTACGAAAAGCCAAATCGTAGCAAGATTTTCATTCATGCAAAACTTTTCATCAACGCGTTTATATGTTGAAAAATGACGGATGAAATATTGCAAGGTAATTGAAGAAAATAAAGAGAAAAACACAATTTTCGTCTCGTTTGTAATCATCATTGCTCCATAAACATTATATTTCATAAATGTTTAATAACGAAAACACGCTATGACATTTAATAATAATATGAAACAAATAAATGCTATAAGAAGACATTTAACTAAATAAGAAAACAGGTATAACATTAATAAATAGTAAAATAGTAAAAAATAGTAAAATAGTAAAAATAGTAAAATAGTAAAAATAGTAAAAATGCTATAACATTACATTCGGTAATAATATTAAGAAAAAAATTCTAAAAATAACATTTAGAAACAGTAATAAACAAATTAAATAAGCTGATGTGATATTTTATAATAATTATAATATAAAATTCAATACTATAGGATAAAATATTAGTATATTGTGTAGCATTCGGGAAATACGTTAAAATAACGTATATAAACCTGTTAACTAGAATCGGAATTAGACTGTTGTTGGGATTTGTTAGCGTAAAGCTGCACAATCGCTTATTTACACTTTATCCACCGCCGGAAATCGAACGACCGGATTTTAACATTGTAAGTCCGGAAACCTTCCGCTGACCTACCAGGGATCCAGAATTAGAACCTAAAACTTTGTCACCTTTGTAAACATGCTTACGAACTGAAGAAAAAACTCCGGTTCTTCTTGTTGTGTTTAAAGACTGGATAAAACTTTCTATAAGCCTATATTTTTGGTTAATTTGGATTTCTTTTCGTTTTTTACTCACTCAAAGTAGTGCTCTTCAGCGACTAAATCTATAAAATAAACCAGATTAAAGTGGAGAACGTGTTTTATTATATTAGTACAGCATTTCAATCATACATTTGGTCATGTTCAGGTACAAGCATTATAATAAAAACATTAAAAACTTACCGAAATAGGATAAAACCTTACCACGTGGTTTCAAAATAAATATAAACTAACAACAATGCTATAGTTAATTGTTTTTCTAATGATTTTATTACTAAAGCTTCTGTATTTTTTCTTTTAGTAACGTTACTTTCATTGTGCATAATTTTGAAATTATTTTCTTCAGTCTGTTTGTTATGTATACAATGCTCATAAGTGTGCGAGATGGGGAACCTGGTGTATTCCTTAATTCTACTGTTTAAGTTCCGCCCAGTTTGACCTTTGTAGAAATTATCTTATGTATTACAATTACATTTATAAATACATCCATGAGTGTAGGGATAGATATGTAAAACTTTCTTTGTTAGCTGCTTAATTTTTTTACATGGTTTCTGTACGAATATATTTTTGTTTTTAATCCTGTGTTTTTTACACCATCTCTTGAAATTTAATATGTGTGACATAAGAATATGATGGTAAAACTCTTATTCGATTATTTAAAATCCTACGATCTTCGGCCCGGTATGGCCAGGTGGTTAGGATACTCGACTCGCAATCTGCCGGTTCGAATCCCAGTCCCACCAAACATGCTCGCCCTTTCAGCCGTGGGGGCGTTATAATGTGACAGTCAATCCCACTATTCGTTGGTAAAAGAGTAGCCCAAGAGTTGGCGGATGACTAACTGCCTTCCCTCTAGTCTTACGCTGCTAAATTAGGGACGGCTAGCGCAGATAGCCCTCGTGTAGCTTTGCGCGAAATTAAAAAAAAACAAACTTTAAAAGTAGAAATGTAAGAAGAGTATAGTTAATTAGTTTTTTTATTACCAGGTTTATTTTTAGTTTCACTCTAAGTACACATCTTGGTCTGATCGGAAGGTAGTATTAATTTTTGAAATAAATTATATTTTATTCTTCATATAGTTTTAGCTACAAAACTGGAAGGCTATATTGTAGTAATCGCAAGTATCACAACTTTCTGTTGTACGGAGTGAACTGATTCCAATTTTATTTGATTATATTTTTTTTTACATTTATCTAATTATAATTATTTTTACGATACACTTCTAAACTTTCCCAACTTCTTCTTATTTTAATATTTAAAGAAATTAAAACATGTTTTTTACTTTCTATCTTAGAAGTAAATGTTGTATTTGGATGAACACTGCTCATATGACTTACATAATAATATGTGGTACTCGTCTGTGAAAAACTCTCATATCACGTCACCAAGGTAATGGTACCAGCATGGATGTGGGTGTGTGGATATACAGCTGTTTTTATAGCTCGTTGTTCTATGTTGATCATATACAGTTCACAAAGTCCTGGAGATAATGGACTTCCCACACTTAATCACTGTGTAAATATTTTGTTTTTAAAATAAAATAAAATTGTTTTGAAGCTATTGAGAAAAGTTTCTGTAACTTTATTCGGATTTTTTTAGATATTAATTATAATGGTGTCTTATTTTATAATTAATTCATTATTACAATGGAATCATCTACAGTGTTATAAATTATGTAAGACACGTATGCTTCCTTTATTTGAATAATTAGATTTTTTTGTCAGAAAACTTTTAAAACACCCAATCCATTAAAATTTGCTTGTTTAATCTTTTTTTTTTTTCACCTAAATGAATAAAGTTCATATACTATTCGTAAGCTGTAAGGTTTAGTATTGATTTTATTTTCATAGTCCTTCCTTTAGATCTTTACTACCACTATGGAAAAAAATACTCGAAGCACTTAAAGTTACATCAAAGAAGTTGAAATTTAATATTTTTTATTCCTTAGAAAACATGACA